CCGGAGAGACCAGGCGAGTCTCAGGCGAGGGGCCGGGAGCCAGCGGCGTCCCGTTCTCAGTAAGCGTGTTGCAGGGTGGCACCTGACGCCCCATCCCGAAGGAGGCGGTCTTCGGCTAGAATCCCAGTCACCGAGGGCGATGCGCACGCGTTCACACGTGCAGACCGCCCCCCGCCCGCCTCTTCTAGACACCGTTGGAGCCTGAGTTCCCGCAGGGAAGGAGCTAGAGGAATCAGGCAACCTACTCAGGACAGAGGCAAGACCCGCCCTGGCAGATGACGAGGCCGACCCAGGGTGACAGCCAGCGGGTGCCCTGGCCAGATGTGCGGGGAGGCCTGGCCCGCATGCGCCCATGTCCTGTGTGGCCCTGCAGCCAGGCCACTGAGCCGTCTGGACTACATCACGCCCCCCACCCATGGCCCCGCACCCCCAAGGACGAGCTTTTCCCCACATGGCCTTCTGCGTGGGTCACACCTGAGGACAAGAGGGGCCACAGAGGATGCAGAGGCAGGCGTGCAAGGCAGTTCTGGTCCACGTGGCTGCCCTGCCGGATGCCACCATGGAGGTGGCCGTTGGCTTCCTGGGGATGCTCATGGCCTCACCCTAGAAGGCACTTGAGTCATCTGTCGTGGTGGCTGAAGCAGACTGGGCTTGAGACATCTCACCTTCCTGGGGACCGTCACCACCGTGTCACTCCCCTGCGTCTGTGCTCGCTGTTGTCCCTTAAGGTCGGTGTGCTCAGGGACAGCACCCGTAGACGTCGGGACTGCAGAGGGCAGCAAGACTGCGTGCGTGACGAAGCCGGGCGGGTGGCGGGGCGCGTGACGCGCAGGGCGCAGAGAGCTGTGCGCTTCCTTCGCGGGCCATTTTGCCAGCCTTCACGTCGTGGCCCTGTGACCCTGACGGATGCTCTTCGGGGCGTGGGACGCGGTTCACAACAGGAGAGGAAAAGGGTTTTGGATCGGTTGTGCATCGATTCACCCTCTTCGCCGCATCTCCCCACGCCCTCCACACACCCGGGGCCATCAGGGTCAGAGGAGACCGCGCCGACCGCCGCAGCAGCCGCGGCTGCTCCCTGGGTTTGAATGGGTCCTTCTTTCCTCGAACAGACCCCGGACTTTGGTCGCATTTGCTAAAGAATAGGGTCTCTCTATCTCACGTCTCTGCGCTGGTGTGAAATAGCGCATGGAAAGGGGACCTGACCCACGTAATGGGAAATGACAGTGTCCTTTTTCATGATCAGTGACTTAAAAAAGAGAGCGAGCGAGACGAGCACATTCGTCCTCTTTGTGGCTGAGAACTCGGCAGCACAGCGCGGGCTTCCATCTCTCACCAGAGCCATGAATGTCGCCTTTGTTTTGCTAACGTCATGAGCCTGATTGTGCTAATATGTTTCTCAAGGCACAACCTATAAATGCAGTTTTCTCCTTACCCTGAGATATTCCCGGGAACACAGGCTTTTTGTCTGGGTGCCGCATTCTTTAAGCAGAGACGCTCTCATTGTTCCTTTGGGCGCTTTGGGTCGAGAGCGCCCGCAGCCTCCGCTGGGAACTCATGGCATTTCAAGTGGTTTTTGATGCAGAAATAGTGCAGGTCATGTTGGGTGCTCCCGCCAGAGGCTGGGATGAATGGGGGTTGTGACCGCTGTGCGCAGCCGGTGTGCAGGGCAGGGCCTGGGGACAGCTCCCCCCCCCCCAACCACACACCTGGTGTTCGATGTGGAGCGCGAGAAGCAAGGAGGCAGCGTCTGAGGAGCCCTTGCGGGGTCTCCCCGGCCTGTCTGAGCGTGGACGTTTGTGTCTGACCGGAAACGCAGCATTGTCCTCAGAGGTGAGGAGGTGGTGGTGGCTGGTCGCGGCGGCCTCTCTGACCTCGGGGATGGACAGCTTTCCTTGTCTTCACTCCACTTCTAACTTTCGGTAGCAGAGGGCTGAAGTTTTCTGTGACACCTCAAAACAGTGTGACGCAGGGGACAGCGAGGCATCCTCCGCCCAGCATCTCGGGGACGGTCTGGCGGCCGGGCTGCCTTGGCCATTCTTACGGGCAGGGGCCAGTGAGGTAACAGTGCTTACGAATGTCGGGCGGTATGACTGTCACTCATCCTCTGTGATTTCCTGAAGCTGAAGCGCCGCTGCTTCGCCGTGCAGGCAGAGAGGGGCCGTGGCCGCTCCCTCCTGTGGACGTAGCCTGGGCGGTCCTCAGGAAAACAGTCACGGCTCCGGCCGTCGGTGACTGTGCGTAAACCCAAAGGGCAGAGTCGGCTCTGGCCTTCGAAAGCCGAGGCCGACTGACCTGAGATCTGTTCAGTGCCTCACCTGTCCCCTGTGCGGTTATGAGGCACGGGACCAGGTTCCTGGAGGACAAGCGTCTGATGGTGTCAGTGGGAGGCAGAGGGAGCGGCAGGACCTGCTCATCACCCACAGGGCCGACGATTTCAGTGAAGCGCTCAGCGCTGCCGTGCTTCTGAAAGCAGGTAATACCGTACTCGCCTTCGGGCCCACCCCACCCCCAAACTGCACCTGCACCCCACCCCTCACCCCACCCGTACCCCCAAACTGCACCTCCCACCCGCA